CCCTGCTGGTAGCCATGCTCAGAACTTTGTATTTTATTCTAAGTGTGATGGGGGTCATTGGAGGTTTGAGAGCAGTGATGTGATTTGATTTTTATTAACTATATTGTGGATGTTTGTTGACATTTTTTATTATAGAGGTATCTAATCAAAGAAGTTTGGAGAATATTAGATTAGGAAATGATATGCAGAAATTATTTTACTAAAAGGTAACCCAGTGACATTCATTGATAAGTAAGAAATTGTTACACAAATAACTCCATGGTCTGAGTGAGAAGTTACATGCTGAAGTTGTAATATGAGAGACAGTCAAGAATAAACATGTCTGTATTTAGGCTTGTTCAATCTAGAATTTGTTTCATAATTTTTCTGTGATCATTCTCAGGGATTCGATTTAGAAGTCTTATCTACAGGATAGCTTCTCAGAATTACTTTCAACTTTTTGATTATATACTCATTCCTCCCTTCTTAAATTTTTTCTTTAAAATTATGTTGATAGATGGATTTGTTTAAAGAATTAACCTCACACAATCATCTTAGTGTCCATGAAGCTGAACGTAATGCTAGCCAAGAGGTCTCAAACTGACAGCCTGTGGGCGGAATGTAGCCCACACGTGTGTTTTGTTTGGCCTGTGTGGTGCTTTGAAGAGTTAAAGTCAACATTTTTAAATTGGGGGCTTTACACATGAATCCAGATTTCTAAATTCTCATGAAAAATTGGAAAATCTAGTAACTTTGGGCCTACATTCCCACAAGGCAACAATCAGTTGGTGTTGAGTTGGGCAGCCTCCTTTAGCTAAGCCATGTCCTCCTCTCCAGGCCACCTGAGTCCCCTCAGACAGCTCATTTATGTTATGCATTATATACTAGGTCATAATATATATCTAGACCCTGTAGGTATTTAGATTTGGGGCATGTGGATAGATCACATGCCTTCATAATATCCTTTTCTCTCTTCCTTTCCAGGAATCCCCCATCCCAGAAGACAAAGACCGCCGATTTGTCTTCTCTTATTTTCTAGCCACTGACACGATCAGTATCTTTGAGCCTCCTGTTCGCAATTCTGGTATCATTGGGGGCAAGTACCTTGGCAGAACCAAGGTCGTTAAGCCGTACTCTTCTGTGGAAAACCCTGTCTACTACGGCCCTAGTGACTTCTTCATTGGTGCTGTGATTGAGGGTAGGTCTAAACAGTTTGAGACTTCCTAATAGTCAAGTGAATGGGTTCTTCTTATTTGGAATTTAATTCAGTGAACCCTTGTAGGGGCAGTTAAGCTGCAGCTGAGCTGCGATAAAGTTAATCTTGTTAATGTGGTACAGTGTCTTAATTTCCTTTCTTATCACTTAAACTGTAAATTGGGTATATTTGTTCACTGTGGATGTAGACCCTATACTTCCTAAATGCTTAGCCAACCATTGCATATTAGTTTATTTGCAACTTTTTGACATTACATGCTCATTCCTTCTTAAATTTTCTCTTTAAAATTATGTTTATAAATAAATTTGTTTGAAGAATTGACCTTGCACAATCATCTTAGTGTCCATGAAGCTGAACATAATGCTAGCCAAATGGTCTCAAACTGTCAGCCTGTGGGCAGAATGTAGTGCACACATGTGTTTTGTTTGGCCTATATGGTTCTTTGAAGACTTGAAGTCAACAGTTTTAAGAGCTATTGAAAGTTCATTAGTCTGGGTCACAAATGCATATCTGTGAATTCATCATTGGAGGATCAGTATTATTTTAATCCTGATCAAGTAATAAAAACATAACCATGAAAGTGCCTTTTTCCTGTCTCCCCAGTGTTTGGCCACCGCTTCATCATCCTTGATGCAGACGACTATGTTTTGAAGTACATGGAGAGCAATACTGCCCAGTTTTCACCAGAAGCACTCTTGTCAATTCAGAACCATATTCATAAGCGAAAAACTCCTGCACCAGATTTGGAAAGGTACGTTCACTCATCTAGGGTCCATTTTGGCTTTGGCACATATGAGATATTCAACAAATAGTTCTTGATGAAATGAATGAGTAATCACAGTTTAGATTTTCAGTTTTCCCTCACCAAGTGGGAGTTTATCAGACATTCAAAGAAAGTTCCCTGGGTCCAATATAAAAGCTAGTAACTTAGAACTTTTTCAACTTCATTTATTTAGCAAATAATTATTGAATGCCTGGTATGTGTCAGATACTATCACTGGGCTTTTATCAGTAAACAAAATAGATAAGAACTCGCTACCCTCATGGAGTTAACCTTCTAAGCAGTGGGAGATAGCCAATAAGTACAAGCAAGTAAATAATACTGTATATTGAGTGATGAGTGCTGTGGAAAAGTGGAACAAAATAAGGGTGATAGGGTTTCTGGAGGGTGGTGGATTGTAGCTGATCGGGGGAGGTGGTCACACCTTGAGAATGTGACACTGCGCAAACACTTGAGTGTAAAGGAGTGAGTGTATGACTATCCGGGAAGAGGGAATGGTGTGTGCTTAGACCCTAAGTAGTATCTGGCAAGGAGCAGGCCAGTGAGAGTGGCTGGGTGGAGTGAGTGGGAGGAAGAGATGTAGGAGATGCAGTTGGAAAACCAACAAGGGGCTGGATTGTGTAGGACCTTCTAGGTCTTTGGAAAGATGTTGCTTTCCTTTGAGTGAAATGGAGAGCCATTATGGTGATTCTGAGTGGAGGGTGGCAAGATTTAACATATGTTTTTATTTTCTTTCTTTATTTTAATTAAGATATCTTTGGTATACAATCTTATGAAGATTTCACATGAGCCACATTGTGGTTTCAACATTCACCCACATTATCAACTCCCCCCCACCCCATTACAGTCACTGTCCATCAGCATAGTAAGATGCTATTGAGTCATTACTTGTCTTCTTCGTGCTGTACTGCCTTCCCCGTGACCTACCTATATTGTGAGTGCTAATTATAATGCCCCTTAAGATTTGATATGTTTTTAAAATAACTACCCTGTCTGTTGTATTGAGAATAAATTGGGAGGAAGATTAGTTGGGAGAATATTGCTGTAATTTGGGCAAAAGAACATGGTGCATGGACCAGGATAGATCAGTGAATGTGGGTGAAGTGGTCTGATTTTGGATATATTTTGAAGGTAGAGTCAGTAGGATTTCAGACAGATTACATGGGGGATATGAGAGAAAATAACTAAGGTTGACTCTAAGATTTTTGGCCTGAGCAACTGGAAGGAAGTTGAATGACAACTGAGATGGGGAAGATTTGCATTGTGGGTAGAAGAGGTTTTTTTGAGGGGGAGCTTTCAGTTTTGGATATACTAGGGTTAAGATATCTATCAGATATCCAGTAAATATCAAACAGGCTGTTGCATATATAAATCTGGAGTTCAGGTGAGAAGTCTGGACTGGAGATGTAAACATGGGAGTAGTTGGCAGCATACAGATGACATTTTAAGCCATGGGGTTGGGTGGAACCTCCACGGACTGAGCTCTGGGTTCCTCCAACAGTGAGAGCTGTGAAAAGAAGATTGCCAAGGACAACTAGAGAGACAGGAAGGAAACCCAGTGGGCGCGGGATCCTGGAAGCCAAATGAAGAAAGTACAGGCAGTCTTCCCTTTGCACAGCAGCAAGGGACTATAAAAATGACCTTGCCAAATAACCTTTAATAATCAATTGGAACATTTATTATTGTTCTATGACCTTAAAAAAACTTTGTCAAACATGAAAAACCAGTGGTTATAAATGTATAGAGAAATGCAAAAATAGTAAATGAATTTTCATTTTGTAAACTATAATTTATAATATTGGCAACATTGCAAATTAAAGTGTTTTATTTCTTTATAAAAATTTTATCGAGAGTAGTTTGAACAATGCTTGCCTTCTCGTTGTATAACAACATGACAGATAACACGATGCAGAGTGAACCTCTTTCTGTGCCTTGGCAAATTGTCATGTGTCTTTCAACATCCAACATTTTATTATTTTTGCTTTCAATGTTGTAAAATATCTCCTAGAGTTCCTATAATAGCAGTGAAATATCTCTGAGAGTTCCTTTAATGTGAAGTGTTTTGCGAGTATCTAGGATATCTTTAAACTTTTCATTACAACCACTTTCCTCATTTATATCACAGGCTGGCTTTCCTCTGGCTGTTTATTGAGAGTCTCTTGAACGGTGGCAATGTCAGCGATCCCACAGTTAGCTACTGCTTTTATAACCCCATTGTGTTTGATTCACATTTTATTGCTAGTGTTATCACTTTTTGTTCCTTTGCTTCACTTTCATCTGCTCTGGCCAATTCCCTCTTTCAATTATCCAATTCTGTAAAAGGGGTTCATCACTGAAAGACAAGGAGGCAACGTAGTTGTGACTTTGCTGTCTAGATGTGAACTGAAAAACAGATGCGCAGTGGCCAATCACCAGCAGACTCTGAAAAAATAATGTGATTGTCACTGGTCATGATGTGAGTACATTATTTATGTAGTGATCAGTGGACTGACAACCTGACAGTAAATTTGTACTTTGTGCAATTCCTCTTTGTTAATAAACTGTGGTAACTGAAATTTGAACCCTGCTATTGACCGTCGGATTTATTTAACTAAACAGTGGTAACTGAAATGTATGCATTCCAGAATCATGCAAAGGGAAAACCGCTTGTAGATCAAGGCAGATGGAATGATTCATTGAATCAGATGGGGATTTAGCCATGTGGGGGGGCCTTAATGAGGAGTCTTGTGGAATAGGATGGGAAGGGCAGGAAAACCTGGTAGAAGTGGATTTAAGAGAGAATGGGAGGAGAGGAATTTGAGACTACAGGTAAGGACAACTCTTTTGAGGGAGTTTGGTTCAAAGGGGAACAGAAAAATGGGACAGTAGCTGGCAGATGAAATGGAGGTCAGAGAAGGTTTTTGTTTGTTTAGATAGAATAAATAATGGCATGTTTGTATGTAAATGGAAATGATTCTGCAGAGAAGGAAACATTGATGAATATGTGAGAGAGGGGAGATTTGTGGAGTAGATGAGAAAGGATGAGATTTAGTACACACGTGGAGGAACTGGCTTTACATAGATGCACCGATCATTCACCTCTGGCAGTTATTCTCAAACCTTTTGGTCTCAGGACACCTTTAATCTTGTAAAGATTATGGAAGATCTCAAAGAGTTTTTGTTTACTTGGTTTATATCTATTGATAGTTACCATACTGGAAATGTATGATTGTTTAAAAAAACCAATAAACCTACTTCATGTAGATAACAGAATATTTATTTCTAAAAAACATCCTATATTTTCCAAACAAAAAGGTTTAGTGAGGAGAGGGGCATTGTTTTGAATTTTTGCAAGTCTCATTAATGTCTGACTTTACCAATAGAAGACAGCTGGATTTTCATCTGCTTCTGTATTCAGACCACTGCATATCGTTCATCATGCAACCTCTGGAAAGTTCTGTGCACTTATGAGAAAACCAGAGTAAAAAAAAGCAACTAATAATGATTTAGTATTTTTATGAGAATAGTTTTGACCTCACAGATCCCCAAAAGAATCTCAGGAACATCCGAGGGTCCCAGGACTACCCTTTGAAACCATCTATGGTGACTTCAGGAAGGCTGAGTGTGTGGGTACAGATGCTGGTAGGGTACACGTGTGGATGAGGGGCCCTTCTGATTATGTCGGTGTATTTTTCCCATAGGAAGAATGAGGATGGGGAGATGTTGGAGGTTTCAGGGGAAGAAAAGTTGTAAAATGCTCCATCCTGGTGGCTATATAAATCAATATAAAAACAAAATGAAAATAAATGCATAGGATTATTTTATCTACTGTTTAGAAAGAAAAAACCAATTATAATTAATATTTACTATCGGTTGAAAAAATGCATCATAATTCCAGAGATGTAAAAAAGGTGAAAAAATTTTGTCTCAGGACTAAAGAAACATGGCAGCTGTTGAGGAAAGTGGGAGGCACGTGGGCTGGAGAAGCGGAGTTTGGTGGGTGGGCAGCATCGAGGGGCAAGTTGAGATTCATGGTCATACATTTAATTCAAGTACTTCTTAAATGTTTTTTTTCTGTAATTCTCCCATGTCTTTGAAAATACTGGAAGCACTGGAGAGCTTTTTGCTTTGGCATACTACCAGTAGAATCTTTTTTTTTTTTCTGAATTAGTAATGAGGAAAAGAGAGTGTTGTGGCACTTAGAATAAGATACCAATAAAAATGAGAAATTTGGGTTCTGGGTTAAGAGTCCCATCACTATGGAACTTGGTCCTTGCCTTACCTCTCTTCTCTTGCGATGGCTCAGAGATGAGGGACAGAAAGTGCTTGGAGGCATATGAACCCAAGTGTCACAGCTCCCGTGTCTTCTGCCCTTCCTGTCTTCAGCTCCTGACTCCTTCCATATGGTAAAGAATGCAGCTCTAAGGACATAGAACTCCTTTTTTCGGACTGATCATTGCTAAGGATAATGAAAGGGAATTCCAAGTAGTGGTCAGGCCTGAGTACTTTCTATATTAAGTGTCAATTTGGATGGTGAAAATTTGGAGTTTGCCATTTTCTTTCTCTGAGACAGAAATTTAAAACAGTACACATGTCATTGAATACTGAATATTGACTTCATCTTGGAGACCTTCCTGAAATACATGGGACTTAGATTTTTAGATGACAGGTGCTTATAAATCCACCTTCTACATAAAATCTCCATATGTTAATAGCATAAACCCACACTTGTGTTTTGTATATGTTGTTATTGTTTTTCTAGCATGCCCATTTGTGTTCTTCAACTTCAGGGGGACCCTCCTCCCCTGCTCAATGATTCTTTCAATCCTCTTTTTCATTTCCAGCCATTTTTCCCAGATCGACATTCCCAATATTCTCATTCCCTTTTCCATTTTCTTTAAGCTCCAAGCTCTTCTTTATTCACTTTGCCATTGGTCTCAAATTTGAGATAAAATGATCCAATGGAAGCTTCTTCATATTTCCCACTCTTC